AGAGAAGCAGATGTCCCACTGAGTGTGAAGCCCAATGCGGGGTTGATCTCACAACCTTGAGATCATGACCCCAAGATCATGATCTGAGCTGAAATCAAGACTTACACATTTCACCGACTGAGTCACCCAGGTGCCCCAGTAAATTCCAGAGTTTTAAACCAACTCTTTCAAAATATTAACCAGCAATAGAGAGTCCATGATTCAGGTTGAAAGAAAAAAACAGAAATGTAATCTTATAACTCCTTATGAATGTCAGAATTCACCTGCAGTATTAATTTCTTCATCTATAAAATAGAGAATAGTTTCATAATAAAAATCAGAGGTTGACATAAGGGCAAAGGAATGAGACTGGAAGTCCTATTAGAATTCCTATTTCACTGTCCAATCTTTACTCAATTACAATGACTTATATGAAGGGTGCAATAGAGGTTTGTTTATGCAGCATCTGGAAAAATGGTCTTCAAAGTAGGTGTAAGCACCCAAGGGAGATGTAAGATGACCCCTTGCTGTATGGAAGAACATTTTAGAACTTTTTTTTTTTTTTAAAGATTTTATTTCTTTGTCAGAGGGAGAGAGAGCATGAGCAGGGGGAGCGGCAGGCAGAGGGAGAAGGAGGCTCCCCGCTGAGCAAGGAGCCCAATGCGGGACTTGATCCCAGGACCAGAGCCGAAGGCATCCCCATTTTAGAATTTCTATCTACACTCACTTTTATTCTAAAAAAGAGAAACTAGGGCGCCTGGGTGGCTCAGTTGGTTAAGCGTCTGCCTTCGGCTCAGGTCACGATCCCAGGGTCCTGGGATCGGGCCCCTCATCGGGCTCCCTGCTCCTTGGGAGCCTGCTTCTCCCTCTGCCTCTCTCTCTCTCTCTCTCTGTCTCTCATGAATAAATAAATAAAATCTTTAGTAACAAAAAAAAAAATAAAATAAATAAAAAAGAGAAACTAAACTCCATTAATATTTAATAACTAGGTTGGCCCTGGAGTATGTCGGACAGTCACATATGGTATCATC